TATTATATATATATATATATATATATATATATATATATATAGAGAGAGAGAGAGAGAGAGAGAGAATATAATGGCTAAATATTAATGAATTTACACACACAAATACCTTTTCTCCCTTAGGACCAGCCAGACCAGGATCACCTTTTAAGCCCTGTACAAATAAAAAAAAATGCATATAATGTATATACATTTTAGTCCACAAAAGGTTTTGGGCAAAATTCTCTGTTTGTGTGAATTAGCATCTGCTAATCAAATCACTGTTAAATCACTAATTTTATTAGTATTGAAATAAAGTAAATATTTATTTTGATTTGTTCAAAAACTAAGAGACACCTACTAGAAGTTTTAGGTGCCCTCAACAGATATTTAAATATACAGGGCCGGATTATCTAGACAGCTGTGCTTCATTTGCTCAAATGATGCAAAGGGGGTGGGGATGTCCCCTAGGGCTGGTCTACACTACGAGGTAGGTTGAATTTAGCCTCATTAGGTCGATTTTATAAGCAATGCGGCTACACAACCAACCCCATTCCGTCAGCCTAAAGGGCTCTTAAAATTGACTGCTGTACTCCTCCCCGATGAGGGGAGTAGCTCTAAAATTGACCTTCTTGGGTCGAACTTGGGGTAAAGCAGACGCAGCGTTGTGCAAATCGACGGTATTGGCCTCCAGGAGCTATCCCAGAGTGCTCCAATGTGATTGCTCTGGGACAGCACTTTCAACTCTGATGCCCTAGCCAGGTACACAGGAAAAGCCCCGGGAACTTTTGAATTTCATTTCCTATTTGGTCAGTGTGGCGAGCTCAGCAGCACAGGTGCCCATGGAGTCCCAGAATCGCAAACGAGCTCCAGCATGGAGTGAACGGGAGACACTGGATCTAATTGTTGTATGGGGAGAAGAATCTGTGCAGGCAGAACTCCAATCAAAAAGAAGAAATGCTAATATATATGTAAAAATCGCACAGGGCATGGTGGAGAGAGGCTACACCAGGGACACACAGCACTGCTGCGTTAAAGTTAAGGAGCTCAGGCAAGCCTACTGCGGGTCAGACCCCCATACATGCTGCTTCTATGATCAGCTGCATGCCATTCTGGGGGGGGGGGGACCCTACCAGTACCCCACCACTGTCCATGGACACCTGCAAGGGGGGAGTCTCACGCAACACAGAGGAGTATTTTGTGGAGGAGGAGGAGAATTTGCAGCAGGCACGTGGAGAATCCATTCTCCCCAGCAGCCAGGACCTTTTCATCAGCCTGGAGCCAATACCCTCCCAAGGTGGGTTCCCGGACCTTGAAGGCAGAGAAGGCACCTCTCTGGTGAGTGCACATTTGTAACTAAACTACAGGGGTTTAAAGCAATTGTGTTTAATATTTGATTTGCCCTGAAGAATTGGGATGCATTCGCGGCCAGTACAGCTACTGGAAAAGTCTGTTAACGTGCCTGGGGATGGAGCGGGAATCCTCCAGGGACATCTCCAGGAAGCTCTCTTGGAGGTACTCTGAAAGCCTTTGCAGAAGGTTTCTGGGGAGGACTGCCTTATTGCATCCTCCACAGTAGGACACTTTACCACACCAAGCCAGTAGCAAGTAGTCTGGAATCATTGCAGCACAAAGCATGGCAGCGAATGGTCCTGGGTTTTGGTCACATTCATGCAACATTCGGTCTTTATCTTTCTATGTCAGCCTCAGGAGAGTGATATCATTCATGGTCACCTAGTTGAAATAGGGGAAGTTTTGTAAGGGAACAGTAATCCCCTCTGTTTGCTGATCCCTGACACATTAGACCCCAGGCATGCTGGGCTGTTTGTGCTTGGCTAAAAGGGATCATCCTGGAGAATAGCCACGTGATGGGGGGACAGGTGTGCTGCACATCCACCCAAAAAAACGCAGCCACTCCTTCTAAACGGCAAACCCAATGGCAAATCCCATTGCTTACTATGGGAAAGGAGGACGCTGCAGTTTGAAACCATTCCCACGTGTTATGAAGGTGGAAGATGTCAACTCCACGTACCCTTTGGCTTAGCATGGCTGCCTGGAAACCGAATTCTGTTGCCCAGCTGTGTTTGATGTGTCACTATACTGGCAGGCGCTCAATATAAAAGGCAAAATGCGACCTTGTACCTAAAGCATGTGCTGTCTGCTGTGAATTGCTTGATTCTCTGTGAAAGAGTCTCCTTTTTGTTCTCAGAAATGTATCTTCTTAAATTTTAATCTCCCTTTTTATCCCCCCTGCAGGTGCAGATGTTTCTATGCTCCCCATATCAACTCCATCCCCGAGGTTATTGCAGATTAGAAGGCGAAAAAAATGCACTCGTGATGTTTTCCGAGCTCATGAAGTCCTTCTGCACCGATAGGGCACAGCTAAATGCATGGAGGCATTCGGTGGCAGAGGTCAGGAAAGCATACAGTGAGCATCATCAGAACATGCAGGAGGAGATGCTAAGGCTAATGGGGGAGCAAACGGAGAGGGTGGGGCATCTGGTGGAGCTGCAGGAAAGGCAACTAGAGCTCAGACCCCCGCTGCATCCATTGTACAACTGCCTGCCCTCCGTGCCAAGTTCCATATCCTCCTCAGCCAGACCCCCAAGAACGGGAGGGGTGGGGGCGGTGGGGGGGAGAGGCTACGGGCACCCAGCCACTCCACTCCAGAGGATGGCCCAAGCAACAGAAAGCTGCCATTCAAACAGTTTTGATTTGTAGTGTGGCTACAATAAGCAATGTGGCCTTGTCCTTTCCTCCCACCCCACCCAGGCTACCTTGTCAGTGATCTCATTTTTCTTTTTAATAAATAAAGAATGCATGAATTCAAAACAATAGGGACTTTATTTCCTTTGCCAGCTGTGGTCAAAGGGGGGAAGGGGATTGGCTTACAGGGAAGTAAATTCAACAAAGGAGGTGGTTTTGCATCAAGGAGAAACACACACAACTGTCACACCGTGGCCTGGCCAGTCACGAAACTGTTTTTCAAAGCCTCTCTGATGTGCAGAGCGCCTAGCTGTGCTCTTCTAATCGCCCTGGTGTCTGGCTGTTCAAAATTGGCCGCCAGGTGATTTGCCTTAACCTCCCATCCCACCATAAACGTCTCCCCCTTACTCTTACAGATATTATGGATCACACAGCAAGCAGCAATAACAATGGGAATATTGGTTGCGCTGAGGTCTAACCAAGTCAGCAAACAGCGCCAGTGCGCTTTTAAACACCCAAAGTACACACCATTGAGTACTTGCTCTGCCTATAGTTGAGCTCCTCCTTACTACTGTCCAGGCTGCATGTGTACAACTTCATGAGCCCTGGGAGCAAGGGGTATGCTGGGTCCCCAAGGATAACTATTGGCATTTCAACATCCCCAATGGTAATTTTCTGGTCTGGGAAGAAAGTCCCTTCTTGCAGCTTTTCAAACAGCCCGGAGTTCCTAAAGATGCAAGCATCATACACCTTTTCCGAACATCCCACGTTGATGTCGGTGAAACATCCCTTGTGATCCACCAGTGCTTGCAGCACCATTGAGAGGTACCCCTTACGGTTTATGTACTGGTTGGCACCAGGCTATCGCTTCACTACAGTTAGGGAACCCCATTGCAGCAAAGCCATCCAGTATGACCTGCACATTTCCCAGAGTCACTACCCCTGTTAGCAGAAGGTCACTGATTGCCTTAGCTTGGATCACAGCAGCCCCCACGGTAGATTTGCTCACTCCAAATTGATTCCCGACTGACCAGTAGCAGTCAGGCATTGCAAGCTTCCACATGGCTATCGCCACTTGCTTGTGAACTGTCAGGGCAGGTCTCATCTTGGTACTCCTGCACGTCAGGGCGGGGGAAAGCAACTCACAAAGTTCCATGAAAGTGGCCTTACGCATATGAAAATTTCGCAGCCACTGGGAATCATCCCATACCTGCAACACCATGCGGTCCCACCAGTCTGTGATTGTTCGCTGGGCCCAGAATTGGCATTCCACTGTATCAACCTGCCCCACTGCTGCTATGATGTCCCAATTGCCACATCTCATGCTTTCAGGAATGTCTGTGTCCATGTCCTCCTCACAATCGTCCTCGTGCTGGCAGCTCCTAGCCAGGTTCTGCACATACTGCAGGATAATGCGCGAGGTGTTTACAATGCTCACAACAGCAGCGCTGAGCTGAGCAGGCTCCATGCTTGCCATGCTATGGCATCTGCATGGGTAACCCAGGAAAAAGGGTGGAAATGATTGTTTGCCATTGCTTTCAAGGAGGGAGGGAGGAGAGACTGACGACATGTACCCCAAACCACGCACAACAATGTTTTTGCCCTATCAGGCATTGGGAGCTTAACCCAGAATTCCAATAGGCAGCGGGGACTGTGGGATAGCTACCCACAATGCACCACTCCGTGAGTCGATGCTAGCCACAGCATTGAGGATGCACTCCGCAGACCTACTGCGCTTAGTGGGGGCATACACGATCGACTGTATAAAATCGCTTTCTAAAGATCAACTTCTATAAAATCAACCTAATTTCATAGTGTAGACATATCCCTAGACTCCGGCTGGGGATCTCTCTGGCGTGGCCTAGCAGAGATAAAGCCAGCGGAGCCAGCTCATACACCACTCACTCCACAGTATCTGGTAGGAAAGGTATGTGGAGGATGAGAGGCAGGAGGAGTGGACTGGATTGTAAATGACAGGGAGTGCAATCCCCAGCGGACATATTGTTCCAAGATCACCATAGTCAGAGGAACCCTCAGGCTGTTCTAACCTTCATCTGGAGCCAGGAATAGAATCAGAGAGAAATAGTCAGTTTTTTAACCCTCCATGCTGCAACCAGTGAAAGCGAGAGAAGCAGAGAATATGGGCTGCCATTCTTAGATATTACAAATTCAGCAATTTTGCCTACTCACATCACCAGAAATGTCCAATCAAGAGAAGATAAAGAAAGTATCCTCGGCACTACCACTCTACAACCCTCATTATTCTCCCTATTCCCCAAAAGCCTGAGGAATAGATGGGCTTTGCAAACTCAACCAATTCAAGCTATTCTGGAACATGGCAGGGACTCGGGCCCATCACAGAGAACTACCAATCAGAAGCTCCCTTTCCTTTAAACCAAGTCATCCCATCTCAGCACTCCCACTGATGTCAGCTTCAGAAGTATGCCATGTGGAGGCACGTCCTAAGGC